CACCCCGTCCATCGGAGATCTCGGTGGACCCGTCTCGTTATTTCTCGGGTCACATTCGTTTCCCAGCCGGGCCGCGCAGGCCGGGGCGCTTTCCTTGCCGTCGCATCGCGGCTCAGGGATCATTTTCACTCATCGTCCGACGTTAACGAAGTGTTTTCAGAGCGCGGATTTTTTAATGGTCCGGTGTCATGCGCGCCACAGATCGCCGCCAGGGATTCGCACGGGTCCGCGACGGACCGGGGGCCCACATTTTACAATCAGACGGGTCGCCGACACTTCACAGGGTCGGTGTTTGCCGACTGTCGACGTCTTGGACAACGTCAAAGGATCCAAGTGGGAACCAGTGACGTGGCGTCAATTGCGATGTATCGATTGTTCTGCCATTTAAACCTATAGTAAAGAATCGATTATTAAGGTGTTCGCTGCGAACGCCTTGTTTATCGATCCTTTTCCACAGGTTTAAATGGTATAACAATTGATACATCGCAAAGCCCGCCACGCCACTGGATGGAACGTCCCTATTCTGCCGTGCTAAGGAAAAACACCGTATGAACCCTCAGGCGTTGCCGAATTTCCTTTGATGAAACACAAATTTCCTGGTAAATTTATGAATGTTTTCCTTTCAATTTTTTGGATAATTTTGTTCGAAATTTCACCTTAAGTTCCTGGAACTTTGAAGGAAAACATTTATAACTTTCCTCCAAAATAAATATTTTATCGAAGGAAATTTGGCAACTCTCGAATTTTCATACGGCGTTCGTCCTTACCACGGCGGTATTCCTGACGGTTGTGGATAGGGCGGATCGGATGGGTGGTCCGGGGGGGTCCCCTCCCCCTAAGTGGAGAGGAGGTCCAAGGAATTGTCTACGGGAACACATCTTGAAAAAATTTGTGAAACATAGACGGATCCAGACACTTCGAACGAAGGGAGCTGAAGAGGGGGCGTCCGGGGGGAAGGGGGGCTTCCTTCAGAAAATTTTTCGAAAATTTTCGACTTTTGAGGCATCAAATATGCATATTTCTTATACTAATCTGTTCCATTTTATGTTCCCAGGTCCTGAAATACTGCGATCACTTGCACGGCAAATGGTACTTTTCAGAAATCCGTGCCGTCTTCTCCAGACGCTACCTCCTCCAGAATGTGGCTATCGAAATTTTCCTCGCCAGTCGAAGTAAGTGTCCTTTAAAATCATAAATGAGTATTCGCGCGTAAAATTACGCCTTCAAATCCGGGTGATACTCTCCGCTTTGCCAGGAAGTTAGTTTAGTTGCGTGACCCAACCAAACCCAACTAAAGTCGCTGATTTCCCTAAAAGCAATCGTGAGTAGGCTAGCTGGTACTCATTCCAGAAAGAGGAAACGTCTATTTAAATTCCAAACATGATAATCAGTACCTTTTTGTTCATTTACTTATGGATTTTTACATTTTTTCATTCACCACCTATAGATTGCAATTTGCCAGCGATTTATATTTGAGGGGCGCGGAAAACAAGGTACTTAAGTGCAGTTTTGGCTATTTCAAGAAATACGTGATTAAAGTTTCAGAATTATATGGAGCCTTATGGCAGATAGGAAGTTTAAACTACTTTTTGATGGTTGAAGTCAGATTTTAGCTGTGAATTTTTAACAGCATATACTCTTAAACTAGTTTTAGTTGAGTTCATTAATGTCTCAATTTCTTCAAAAACTGTACTTATGCGCCTTGTCCTCCAAGCCTCTCAATTGCCCTCGTCATATTTTGACTGCATTTTGCAATTTGGAACTATAAATTCTGGCTCCTCTTGAAAAACATTCATGTGCATAGGGAAAGTAATGGCACATACGTTGTTTTTAAACCGGGCCAGAATGTATAGTTCCAAATTGCAAAATGTAGTCGATTTAAGAGTAGCTCTTCTTGATTGGGATAGAAATTATATTTAGTGCTCTTAGTTTTTTTCGGGAACGTTTCAAAACGAGCCGAAGCCTTTAAGTGCAGCAGTGGAGATACCCGGCTCCGTAGTTGCATCGTATAAATGCATCCGCTAATCCGGCAAGACAGTGAAACATTCCGTCAAAACAGTCACGAACAGCCTCTAAACGATGAGCCTGGATCAATCAAACTACAACGACAAGAACCCGGAAAACTTGAGTCCTCGAAACCAATGGAACATTTTCATTTCATGAGATTTATTACTCGACCGACCTGTTATTGAAATTGGACTGCATAGGTGCGCATAGAAAGACGAAAAGGCTTTCTGCATTTTGACTTTCTGCCTCGGAAGCGCCGCACTCTCATTCGTTCGAGGGCTTAAGGTCGATGCAGATAAGTCCTTTTTGCTATTATCTGTAATTCATAAGGTCGTCCTTGCTACCTTCGCTGATGGGTCAGTAAACTAGTGCTACATTCTAGCTTCAAAATTTTGGAGCCCAACTGCATTGACTTTCTCTTCAAATAAGCTTTGGCATTTACGAACAAAATATGTGTCTTGCAGCCGAGCGGTTGACGAGTACAATTCCGAGGATAATTAGAAGTGTATGTTACCGTATGTGAAGTATCACAAGAAGCTAGTCCTCCCTTCGCAATAGAGGGGAGGAAAAAACAAAACACTAAAGTTGTGTAAATCGGGCATATTTATCTTAGGGCTGCACAGTTAAGTAATTTTAACGTTCTTTGCTCTTTGCAACGAAAGTTCGAAAATTTCAATTGAAATTATAAGATTTTGTTTCTCATTTTGTTCACACTGAGAAAAAAAGTTCCTGTTGAAAGAACTGAAATTATGAGTCACATAGCCCTAAAAATGTCTGCCAGGTAACCACAGTTTTCGGTCACCGTACTGATTTTCACCTGAAACTTAAGGCACCAGAACCGTAAATCTGTTTCTATAACCAAGATTTTCGTTAAGTGAAGCGGAAACGTCGATGGATAATATGAATCAAAGTTCAACTTATTCAGCCAAAGTTTTTCTCTTCGTACAGGATAGGTACACACGGTAAAAAACGTGTTATGAAAAATCTGAGATCAATATGTATTGAATGCACAGGAAATGCTTTGTGATTTGTTTTTATCTGACACGGACTTTTTATCCCCTTTCTCGTCGTTTTTTATATTTTTTCCTCGCCATCTATGATAACTAGTGTGATGTTACTGGAACTATCCTGTCATGCTAAGGAAGAACGCAACATGTGCTTTTAGATGTTGCCAAAATTCTTTCGATGAAATTTGAATTCCGAGGGAGACTGGTGAATATTTTTCTCTCAATTTTTCTGAGAATTTCATTCATAATTCAATTCATTATGTCCAAAAATTTAAAAGGAAAATATTCCAAATTTGCCGCTGAATTACATTTTTCGTTACAAAAACTTTGACAAATTCTGGATGTTTACATGACGTTTTTTCTTAGCACCACAGTGCTCACAATCAGAACGAGGTCTGTTCAGGTCTTGATTTGTAGGAGGCTCACGTTCCTCAATGGAGAGCACATACGGTTGAGTTTTCCGAGGCGGCGAATCACAGTGACCAAGCGCTAGCTCAGGATTCTTGAATGAGGAAATTAAAATGATAAGCAGTATGGCCACGACTGGAAATCAATGGAAAAGCCAACGACAGGAGGACGGCAACCGGTTTACGTTGCGTCCACGATGGCATCGATTTATTGTTGAATCAATCAACGTCCGTCATTGCCGGTTTGCCTTTTCACCGATGCCATAAAATCGCGGATCAGGGAAAGTACTCACAGGCGCCCCCGTTTTCAGTGCATAGTTCCGTTCAGTGTGGTGTACTTTGCGATCCATCGATTCTTCTGCCATTTAAACCTATGGAAAGGATCGATGAACAGGGTGTTCGCAACAAACACCTTAATAATCCTAAATAATAATCGACTCCTCGCTATAGCTTCAAATGGGAAAATATCGATGAATAGATCATTCACGCCTCGCTACTGGTTCCGTTCCTGTCATAGCGAGAGGATTGCGGTCTATTTTTGATCGTCCATGGGAAAATACACATCGTCGATCTCAAAAACTTTAAAATTGAGTAATTATGTAAAACCAGCTTATAAAAGTATGTCTACGTACATTTTGGGACGAAGAATGCGCCCAAAAATGTCAAACGAAACTGGAATTGAAGCGGTTTGAAGATTGCGATTCAGAATATGTAGTTTTGAGAAAAAGCGACTTTCTTAAAATGTATTTTTAATTTGCCATGTTCAGAGCACGAAGAGCGCCGGACTACAAAGCAAGCCATGAGCCCTCGTGACCATGTGACCCAGAGGCAAAAAAGTGCTCGCAGCTCATTCTTCGCAACTAATTTCGGTGATGTCCGTGATTTTTGTTTCGGAGAATTGTCATGAACTCTGTTACAAAGAGCGGCACAGTTTATCCACACCAATCAGATTCAAAGTGCAATACTCTATCCGTAAAGAGGCACCACTTGGCATCCGGCCTGGATCAGATGGTGATTAAAAGTGGAGGGATGATGGTATTGAACAACATGTCAAACGCCGCGCGCAGCGCTCCGGGAGCCACTGCAGGGCCGTCATCCAGTCGGATCGACGTGAATCATTCGCTGACAACCCGAGAGACCCAGAGGGCAACCACTCTTTAGGAACACTGCTCCTGCAACTGCAGAATCAGCTGCGAAAAAAGTCTTGCGAGTTGCTTACCTCCGCATCATCCAGTCCACTTTGCAAGTTTCTCCTCTGTGTTGCTCCACCATACCTCTCTCAAAAGCGGGCGTCACCCGTCGGCAGAAATAGGGAGGCCGAGCAACACTGACTCGAAGAAACTCTTCTTGTGTTGAAAAAACTCTACACCTCACAAGTCACGAGCAACCATTTCCCCTACCAGTGTAAATTCATGTCATAGGCGATTAGCAATCGCCGGCAATCTGCAAGCGGTTCACATGTTGTTTCGATAAATTGCAATACTACGCATCGGCATAATGCAATTTTTTTTAAGGGTAATGGTCTTCAAAAGCATGAGCTCGGTTTGGAGTGCCTTCAATTTTTGTGATATTCTACGCTTTGTCACGAAGTTGGTTTAGTTGCCTGTCTGATCCCAACTCAACTGATGTCTCGGAGTTCACGGCACGCTTTTCTGAGTGTGCCTATTTCTACCATACTTTTTCGGAGGAAAAAGTGTCTTATTCACATAATAGGCAACACAATCAACACTCTAATTATTTCGGTTCTTCTATTTTTGAATGTTTTACTTTCTTATATTTATTCACCACTGGCTTGCAAATTGCCGGCGATTGTTAATTGCCTGCGACATTCACGCATTCACAACAACACCAAGAGGCGGTCACACTCTTCCTCCAGTTCTTTCCTCCACCTGCATCTGGAGTCCTTTTGTCTTCCCGACCGGCAAAATTCAGTCGTCCTCATCGTTAAGCCGCCGCCGTCGCTTCGAGTCGGGGATGCAGTTGGCGGAGCTCAGAGTGAGAAACAATGAAATCGATCCGACTAAATGATCCCTCGGTGGAGCGTCCGATGACGTGATGGACCGGCGGCGGTGGGTTCGGAAAGAGGCTCATGGATATGCAGACGCGGTGATGCTGCTCCAGGACCGGGGGCCTCTGTGCCCCTCGGGGGGGGGGGGGGGGGGGGGCAGCGCAGGACAGACAGGCTGGAGTCGGTCTCCAGTGCCCAACTGTCACTGCCCAATAACAATGCGCCATTCCAGGCCGCGACCGTGCTGACGAAAGAGATCCGGACCGCAGTCTTTTCGCGGGTCTGCATGCTGCCAAGTCAATGAGCAAATGCGACCGTCCGTAGAAACAGCGCCTTTTGGTGCTAATAGATGCAGTTGCAGAGAACAGTGGTTTCTTCAAGGAGAAAAAAACTCGTGCGTGGGACCCAAAGTTTAGGTCATATGGATCTCTGAAGTTTTCGGATTGAGCATCCGAACACTTAAAGTCCAGCTGCTGAGGTTTGGATCACACATCTGAAACTTCAGTGTTTACATCTGAAGCACTACGGTTTTCACATCCGAAAAACTTCGGTTCTCACATCCGAAAAACTTCGGTTCTCACATCTGAAGTACTTTCAGATGTAAAAACTGAAGTTCCAGATGTGTGATCCGAACCTCGACAGCTAGACCTGAGGTGTTCAGATGCTCAATCTGAAAACTTCAGAGATCCATATGACCTAAACTTCGGATCCCACGCACGAGGTTTTTTTTCTCCATGTAGCTC